GCGTCTTGTTGCAGTCCTAGAAATCATACGAACGGATCATACTTTGCAAAGAACAACAACCATATCAATGTATCATTACGAACTAGAAAATCTTGCACAGTGTCATACGTATATATATTAATTAGCAATTATTGAATGTGGCTGAGTAGGATGTGAAAAACTATGCAGATCTCGGAGAATGTTATCCACCGAGGCTGAAAGCCTAACATCCTCCGAGATCTGCATAATTCTTCACGTCATACGAATACCGAATTCAATAATTGTTTTATTATTCATTCAAAATCTTTCTACTGAAGTTCTCAACAAGCTTATCTCCTTGTAGACTTTCCTCTATAAACTTTGGCTTATTTTTCGGTGCGGTCTCAGGATATAAACAGATATTTTTTTTTCTTGCAGATACTTCTTGAAAGGTAGACGGGCAATATGTTTTGCGTATACTTGCATTTCTTCCGTCCGGTTTTAGTCGGAAATTCAGCTATTTCTTCTTCAGATAGCTGTGAATGCCATTTTTTTTAGTTCACCCTTGAATAAACTGCTAGGAGGCTGTTACTGGAAACGAGGTTGATCAATCGTCTATTACCCACGCAGCCTCGTTTCCAATCAAATATACCATCAAATCGATGGTATATTGCTCGCATCTTCCAAATATGGTTAGCGCCCGTTAATCATGAAGAATTAGCCCGAGGATTGAAGACAATCAGAAACGGGAAATATTTTGAATGAGTATTAAATACATTTGACAATTATTCGTGGAAATCGAGGTGAATAGTAGATGAATATTTTTGGCAAAAATTTTCATGTTAGGAAACGCTGAGTTTACAAAACGATCTCTTCTAATCGAACAAACAGTTGTTGTAAACATTCCATCAAGGAAAAAAAATTAGCTTAAGTAAATGGAATACGCGGTTTTGAATCCTTCAAAGTCTTCTCTTGTGTAAAAAAATGTCAACCCTAGGATTTTGTAGAATTTTGAAAGATCGTTCTCTAAAATATTGGAAATTAAAACACCGAGCTCCCGCATTATCAACTCGCTCGGAAGTGAATAGTCCGAGATAGCGAACCAATCAGATCCCTTAAAACAGAAAACATCACTGAGTGTGTGTATATTATAAATGTCAATGTAAGACTCTTCCTTCACTGGTTTCATAGCAAAAACGTGGAAAAAGTAAACTGCCTTGTTTTAAGTTAATGATGAACGACTAAATTAAGAAAAAGATTTTCCAGCTTTTTCAGTTTAAGCCGTTTTTCTCTCATTTTGACCACTTGTTCAAAGCTTTGGCTTCTTTAACGATCAACTAACCAGTGTCTCAAAGATTTCCATGACAGAGTCCAACTCATGAATGATCTCCTTAAACCACAGTTCGTAAACTGGAAAGGAAAAATAAATAAACAGGGATAATATCTTTCATCAAGATCAACATTCAGAACATTGAATATACCAAATTAGGACTGAAATAAGATTGAAAATCCCGAACTCAGAAGTTTTGCCCCTAGGTTTTCTAATCCAAGCATATCGCACCTGGGCCATAAAACCCGATATGAAGAAAACTCCTTCTGCCACTGACGGTGTGGACCTCCAATTCGTTAGTAAAAAGTATAAACAAAATTTGTCAAAATACCCTGATGTACAATAATGAACAACAATTCATCATGAGCAGTGGATTCACGTGGCTTCTGACAGTCAAGAAGCTTGCCAAGCTGCAAGAGATAAGAATTGTTGGAAGTTATTTCTTTATAATCTGACTAGAAAGTCCAAGAGTTGATTTTTCAGTCCATCCTTCCTTCCATCTGCCCCAGTTACATTTGGGCCTCTTCTTACGGCCACCTCTCCACAGTCATATCCAACATTTGCGATTGGAATCATTATTTTATTAAAAACGCCCGCAAAAAAAATCGATGAACCAGTTCCTGCCTTTTTTTTTGTTAAAACAAACCGGAAACAAGCAAGACTCCTCCGCTTTCCACATGTCACAAACTGCTTCCACCAAACTGTCACACACCGCGTATAGATAAAAGTGTTGACGACGATGATGATGATGATGGGCAGTACTAGTATCAACTTAAAATATCAACCAGCATATTAGCGGAGCTCTCGCACGATGCGCACGCAGCGGAGCACCATTTGGTTAACTATTTAGTTATCCGCCAAAATTTTGTTATCTATGACGTACATACGTCGGTCCGCCCCTTCAAGTTAGCGGATGTGAAATGTCTTACTACATGTTTTAAGTCCAAGGTATAGGCACTGTATGCAAATGGTGTTTAACTTGATATTGGACATCCATCTTATGATCAGTTGACAGCGGTTAAAGTAGGGTACCCGCTGACCAATGTCACATGCCGGTATCGCGGGCTCAGATGACCAACTCATTGAGGTGACGTGTTTTTTTTTGAAAAGTTCTCCGCTGAGCAGTTTTGGTATTCGAGTGATCGCATGCACAGAAAACTTCGTTTCAGAAGACATTTCTTAAAAATTCCAAGAGAGCTTTGTTTTTGGCCTTGGCTGAAACTATATATTACAAAATTTACGATACACACAATTTACATTCCATTCATTATTTTTGTCAAATTATGCTCTGTAAAAGTCGTATTAACAATATTAGAGGGAAAGAAAATTAAATGGAGAGAGAAGAGATTAAAAGGGGCATATCGTTTGCTTCAAAAACTTTTCTGATAAAGATACATTCAGTGGAGAACACCCCAACTCTTATTTTCTGGCCACAGTAGGGGCCAACAAAGCCGATCCTTTGCTTTGGCTATAGACTAAGCCAGGCGGAAACAGCAAGGCTACACTCATTTCACGTTAATTTATAAAAGATATTGTAATTAAATTGATTAATTATTACTTAATAATATATTTCAATTAATTTCATTTGTACAGAGCATAATTTTGACAATGTAAAGTGAGACATTTATGCCCTGGAATATTTTAATTGAACATTATAAGTTGATACTGACCCGCCTTGATCAGCGTTGATCAATATGCTTAGATCTAGTATTAAAAGCTATTTGCATTAAGGCGAGACGCAAGAGGGAAAAAAGAACGAAAAAAAAATATAATAAACATTATGGTTTCCCTTCGTACAGGCTTCCAAACTCTAGATGGGGATCATCAAACCTGGAGATATCCTGCGTAAGACACTTCTTTATCGTCACCATGTCCTCCTTCCTGGGTACTTGCTTCGTCATCACTGTGAAAGAAATCAGCATACTTCAACAACATATATTTATGCAGCGATTATTATGACCTTAATCAGGAGCCGATTGCTCCTGCCTTAATACATTCGAGCTGACACCCAAACTGCAAAAAGTAGTATAATAGGGGTCGAACTAAACTTTTTTGCAGTAAATTTTAATAAATTTTGGGTGAAATGAATTGATATTGATGACGTCATGACTTTTTATCTCATGAATAAAATGGGGTTGAATCTTCTCAAGGAGGGCAGGGGTAAATAGGCCAGTTCCAAGTGATTAAAATTCAGACTTAGCATGGGCAAGACACAGCAGCAGTGCTAAAGAACCCGTAAAGACTGATATACTCTAAGGCTGACAAGCGAGCATACGAAAGTGTCTCTGAGAATGACAGGGTGTGTGTTCACCACCGACAGCCGGCAATAAGACATTACATTTTCATAAAAAGTATCTCATAGTAATAAAATATCTCACGTTTTGGATCTTCAAAATGCGGTTAAGTCTTGAACTTAAAACGAGCATCTTCCTTCCTTCCATATCCTAATTAAAAGAAACAAAATTTGTTGAGTCATAATTAAAAATGAAATAGAATTGCTCGTAGCTTGCGTTTACCACTACATAACCAGTATAGAATATGCAGCTTCTTGCCTGTCTTAAGTTTTTGCTTCAGTAAACATTTTGCGTCTTGTTGCAGTCCTAGAAATCATACGAACGGATCATACTTTGCAAAGAACAACAACCATATCAATGTATCATTACGAACTAGAAAATCTTGCACAGTGTCATACGTATATATATTAATTAGCAATTATTGAATGTGGCTGAGTAGGATGTGAAAAACTATGCAGATCTCGGAGAATGTTATCCACCGAGGCTGAAAGCCTAACATCCTCCGAGATCTGCATAATTCTTCACGTCATACGAATACCGAATTCAATAATTGTTTTATTATTCATTCAAAATTTTTCTACTGAAGTTCTCAACAAGCTTATCTCCTCGTAGACTTTCCTCTATAAACTTTGGCTTATTTCTCGGTGCGGTCTCAGGATATAAACAGATATTTTTTTTTCTTGCAGATACTTCTTGAAAGGTAGACGGGCAATATGCTTTGCGTATACTTGCATTTCTTCCGTCCGGTTTTAGTCAGAAATTCAGCTATTTCTTCTTCAGATAGCTGTGAATGCCATTTTTTTTAGTTCACCCTTGAATAAACTGCTAGGAGGCTGTTACTGGAAACGAGGTTGATCAATCGTCTATTACCCACGCAGCCTCGTTTCCAATCAAATATACCATCAAATCGATGGTATATTGCTCGCATCTTCCAAATATGGTTAGCGCCCGTTAATCATGAAGAATTAGCCCGAGGATTGAAGACAATCAGAAACGGGAAATATTTTGAATGAGTATTAAATACATTTAACAATTATTCGTGGAAATCGAGGTGAATAGTAGATGAATATTTTTGGCAAAAATTTTCATGTTAGGAAACGCTGAGTTTACAAAACGATCTCTTCTAATCGAACAAACAGTTGTTGTAAACATTCCATCAAGGAAAAAAAATTAGCTTAAGTAAATGGAATACGCGGTTTTGAATCCTTCAAAGTCTTCTCTTGTGTAAAAAAATGTCAACCCTAGGATTTTGTAGAATTTTGAAAGATCGTTCTCTAAAATATTGGAAATTAAAACACCGAGCTCCCGCATTATCAACTCGCTCGGAGGTGAATAGTCCGAGATATTCCAGCTTTTTCAGTTTAAGCCGTTTTTCTCTCATTTTGACCACTTGTTCAAAGCTTTGGCTTCTTTAACGATCAACTAACCAGTGTCTCAAAGATTTCCATGACAGAGTCCAACTCATGAATGATCTCCTTAAACCACAGTTCGTAAACTGGAAAGGAAAAATAAATAAACAGGGATAATATCTTTCATCAAGATAAACATTCAGAACATTGAATATACCAAATTAGGACTGAAATAAGATTGAAAATTCCGAACTCAGAAGTTTTGCCCCTAGGTTTTCTAATCCAAGCATATCGCACCTGGGCCATAAAACCCGATATGAAGAAAACTCCTTCTGCCACTGACGGTGTGGACCTCCAATTCGTTAGTAAAAAGTATAAACAAAATTTGTCAAAATACCCTGATGTACAATAATGAACAACAATTCATCATGAGCAGTGGATTCACGTGGCTTCTGACAGTCAAGAAGCTTGCCAAGCTGCAAGAGATAAGAATTGTTGAAAGTTATTTCTTTATAATCTGACTAGAAAGTCCAAGAGTTGATTTTTCAGTCCATCCTTCCTTCCATCTGCCCCAGTTACATTTGGGCCTCTTCTTACGGCCACCTCTCCACAGTCATATCCAACATTTGCGATTGGAATCATTATTTTATTAAAAACGCCCGCAAAAAAAATCGATGAACCAGTTCCTGACTTTTTTTTTGTTAAAACAAACCGGAAACAAGCAAGACTCCTCCGCTTTCCACATGTCACAAACTGCTTCCACCAAACTGTCACACACCGCGTATAGATAAAAGTGTTGACGACGATGATGATGATGATGGGCAGTACTAGTATCAACTTAAAATATCAACCAGCATATTAGCGGAGCTCTCGCACGATGCGCACGCAGCGGAGCACCATTTGGTTAACTATTTAGTTATCCGCCAAAATTTTGTTATCTATGACGTACATACGTCGGTCCGCCCCTTCAAGTTAGCGGATGTGAAATGTCTTACTACATGTTTTAAGTCCAAGGTATAGGCACTGTATGCAAATGGTGTTTAACTTGATATTGGACATCCATCTTATGATCAGTTGACAGCGGTTAAAGTAGGGTACCCGCTGACCAATGTCACATGCCGGTATCGCGGGCTCAGATGACCAACTCATTGAGGTGACGTGTTTTTTTTTTAAAAGTTCTCCGCTGAGCAGTTTTGGTATTCGGGTGATCGCATGCACAGAAAACTTCGTTTCAGAAGACATTTCTTAAAAATTCCAAGAGAGCTTTGTTTTTGGCCTTGGCTGAAACTATATATTACAAAATTTACGATACACACAATTTACATTCCATTCATTATTTTTGTCAAATTATGCTCTGTAAAAGTCGTATTAACAATATTAGAGGGAAAGAAAATTAAATGGAGAGAGAAGAGATTAAAAGGGGCATATCGTTTGCTTCAAAAACTTTTCTGATAAAGATACATTCAGTGGAGAACACCCCAACTCTTATTTTCTGGCCACAGTAGGGGCCAACAAAGCCGATCCTTTGCTTTGGCTATAGACTAAGCCAGGCGGAAACAGCAAGGCTACACTCATTTCACGTTAATTTATAAAAGATATTGTAATTAAATTGATTAATTATTACTTAATAATATATTTCAATTAATTTCATTTGTACAGAGCATAATTTTGACAATGTAAAGTGAGACATTTATGCCCTGGAATATTTTAATTGAACATTATAAGTTGATACTGACCCGCCTTGATCAGCGTTGATCAATATGCTTAGATCTAGTATTAAAAGTTATTTGCATTAAGGCGAGACGCAAGAGGGAAAAAAGAACGAAAAAAAATATAATAAACATTATGGTCTCCCTTCGTACAGGCTTCCAAACTCTAGATGGGGATCATCAAACCTGGAGATATCCTGCGTAAGACACTTCTTTATCGTCACCATGTCCTCCTTCCTGGGTACTTGCTTCGTCATCACTGTGAAAGAAATCAGCATACTTCAACAACATATTAGTTTAGAACAAAGGCTGTAAGCCAGGGGTATAATGCCGGCTATCGACTATTGTCTAGAATTCACACAAGTATCAACAGAACACGAAAAACAATAGTCTTTTAAAGTGAGCTCAGGTACTTCTGTCCTAATCAACATTAATAACCACTGGCCGCAGGCTGTGGTGTAACTTTTAACAGCGTTTTTCATGTTCGTTAAAATTGTAAAAGCAGGTACCACATGAAGGCTTTCTTACAGATCGTGAGCATAATAAGAACAGTTCATAATGATGAATTGTCAAAAGTCCTCCCGGGTCACTTGCAGTCAGGACGATGCACGACTTGAAGATAAATCAGCTCGTGGAGAGTGGTTACCTCTGTGGTCATTGGGCTTACAAGTGGGCGTTTCTGATACGTTGGAACACAACTCCCATTAAGAGCATTGGCAGTTCTTTGTTCGCAGGCTCAAGTCTTATGTGGCAATAGCGAGCTTAAACAACGACGACGGCGACGTCAACGAGAATGGGAAAAAAAGCAATAGGTTTCAGTAGTTTGGAAAAAGAACAACTTTGCACGTGCATCACGCTTTTTGGTACATTTCTTTGCAGTCACTGCACGACAACGATGTAAAAAGCCCAAATTTCACGTTTTTTGGAGGACGTGAACACAAGACAACGCCTTTGCTTCTCTTTTCCTGAACTTTGATAAAACTTTTTAAAATTTAAATCCAAAAAAAAAATTGGCAACATTTGACGAATTGAACGAGATGGAATAAGCGCGATAAAGTTTGAAGCAGCTCGACTTTACTTTTTTAAGTGACGTTGCGTAGCCGTCGCCGTCGTTTTTGCTTAAGCTCCCGAGTATCTGTTCTCAAAAACCTAGCCTGTGAACTGGCTCACAAGTGGAGCGGGGCCAAATAGAAAATCGGCAAGCCGAGCGTGGTTTGGGAGGGAAAGAAGGAAGGGGGAGGGGGTGGGGTGGTTGGTTGTAGACTTTGTTTTGATGACGCACATCTATGATACGAGAGTCTAGTGTTAGAGCTGATTGGCTGCATTTCCTCATTCGGCGAAAAAATACCCAATTTCGCGCAAGTGTTATTGAAGCCGATGCAAGCGTAAAAAAACATCATAATTTGACAGGTGTAATTACCATATTGACATGTTATTGACATATGTGTTACAGGATAATAGCAAGTGGGCGGTGCGGTTGGCAGCAAGGCTACGAGCTCCCCCTGCTTCTTTTCTCCCTCAGGCCTCGCTCAGCTTACTGCGCACTCCGATTTTCTTTTTCGCTCCCGCTCCACTTGGAAGCCTGCTCGCAGGCTATCAAAACCATTGCCAACAGTTTTATGTACTACAGGGAGATGGATATGTATAATACGAGCTTGATGGTAAGATGAGCCAAGAGATCTGATCGAAGTTGTTAGCCTTATTTCGGTTATTATTTTAAACCATCATTAGGCCACGAAAGAGCAGGCTCTCATTTGAATAAGAATAGATGGGGCTAGCTTTAAATTCTGAATTAATTACTGATATTTTTTAACGTGTCCAACCTCGTCCATCAAAGTGAAAGCCGTTGGGATTCATAATGGATATTAAACTTACCCTGTTAGCAAGCTCACCTTTTGGTGGAGTTGCGAAAAGTTACGCGACAGCAACATGCGAAAGGAGACGCGCGCAGAGCAGGGAAAGAAAGGGAGAGCTCTCCTTTTTCTCCGCCCGTCGCGGCTTCGCGGCTCACTCGCGCATTCTCTCTTGGTTAGCTCCGCTCGCCATAAATAAAGAGCTTGCTCGCGGGCTATATCAAACCTTGGCGTAGGTGCGGAATGCATGTTTGCGCGAATACATGACCTACATGTTTATTCCTCCGTCTACCTACTTATGTGATGTATCAGTATAATTGCATGATCTTCCCAGTTCTGTCGTTGCCTAATTTTTTCGGGTAGCTTGATTCAGTCAAGAGCCTGAATGCTTTTTGTGAGAAGTCCTTCAGGAGTTTGTTCCACATCGCCATTGAGTCTAGGAATACCCGCCTCATGAAGAACAAAATACCGTGTTTCCTCGAATAATAGGCTGGGGCGATTATTAATTTTTTCACACCAAAAGGGGACGATTATTCGAGGGAGGAGATTATTTAAAATATTGCTCATTGGATGACGTGCACTAAATATTTAACAATTATTGGACGAGTTTGGAAACAGTAACAAAACAATCATATCGTATTATTTTGATCTTGGCTCAATTAAAACAAAAGATAAATGTAGCATGATCGTAAAACCACCTTTCGCTTTAATTACTTTTTTCATTATCATCGTTTTCTCACCTTTGTTGCCCTCACATCTTAAGCGACAGCAAATGCTGTAAGGAAGCCGTGTCGGTAGAGAAGAATGAGATTTTAGCGTTTTAAATTTGTCCAGCATGTCACGACCGACGTAAATCCTTCCACGGGCCTTGAGCTGATGAACTCCGAGATTCAGATCTCTTCTCTGCGCTTCTCATGATCACAAAGCTCCAAAAGCCACTGGCATAGCGTTTTCCGCCTCGGGCCGACATCCTTCGCTTGGAGCGCTAAATGGCGCTTAGATTTTTGAAATTTTTCCTAAAAATTACTGTAACAAGCAAACCTTACGTCTAAGTAATTTGATATAGATACAAAGCGAAACGAACACCGATTCGTGACGATGGAAACAGATTTTGACTCGCAGTCTCGCTAAAGACCTATTCGGCTAACTCAATGTTGTACCCAATTCAAATCTCCCGGGGTTAAGATGCTTTGTGTATTGTATCTGCATTATAATGTGGCATTCACATTTAAATAATATGGAAATTCCTGAAACAAAACGTTTTATTCCCAAAGGTTTTGAATGGGTACAACATTGAGTTGGCAAATAGGTCTATTCTCGGGAGAAAGATTGAATGGGAACTCGGTCCAGTCCCCACACTCTCCAAGTCTAAAATGGCGGACCAGTTAATTTGATGTAATAACAATTGTATCATCTCAATGCAAGGCTTTGTTTGGGTTATTTTCTTTAAAACAGCAACAAAAGCTTTTTGTTATCCAGCTCTCCTAACTGTGGATGGATGGTTTCATTTTCTCAGCTCTAAAGGCCTCGGAAAATCGGAGGTCACCTCGATACTGCTCACTGAAACTCGTATTTGTTTGTATTTAAATCTATGTATGTCTGGTCATGCTCCTTTGTTGATGGGTATTTACAACAACTATTCAAGCTATTAAAAGGTCAGACGAAGATTATATGTTAACGAATGTTTTGTTAAGCTAACTTTATCTGGTAAAAATATAAAGAAAATGGGCCTGACAAAATATGCGGACTTTCCATGCTTGTGGAGTAATGCTTGGAAATATGACCTTGAAACTGAATATAAACCAAAGAAACATTTAAGCGTCTTGTAAAATGACCGTTATATCTAGGTCAGAACATCATTTGTGTTTTATGATGGGTACTAGTCTTTCAAAGAAAAAAATCACCTTTGTTTTGCTACATCATGTGTTTGTTGTGCTAATCAGAGGCCCGTTTTAGATCAATTGTAAGATTAGAGTCGGTGTATTTCTAAACAACGAAACTGATTGGCTGTAAAAATTCATTTTCACTTACCCAATACAGAATAGGGGCTTCTTGTCAACAATTTGGTTTGTTTATGGCCTGAATTATGCTCAAAAGTCCATTTTGCATCGCCTTAGAGGGGCACGAAGTGTTTGTTCCAAAAATTCAACAAACCATAATAAGCCAATAACAACAACAACAACAAGAAAAACAACATTTACTTAAACAAGGTAAAAATCACAGCGGAGCTGATGTCGTCGTGTAGTTAAAAGTTTAACACAGTTTACAAATGAATAAAAAGCTTAGAAATTAATTAAAATTTAAGAAGAGATGTAACCTATTTGTAAAAAAAATATATCTATAAACTAAGCTCTTCGCATGAAGGTTCTGCGTTACTGCGCTTTTTCACAAACATGCGAACTCTAAAGTTCAAAAGCCGCCTTCACAATTGCGTTTTTCGCTACCGTCAATCATGATAACGACAAAACAAAACGGATCCAAATCCACCAATCACAAATAACAAACCATGACCTTTTGAACCCGTTAAAGTAAAATTTTGTTTCCTAAGAGGTCCGTTAAGATGATTGACGGCAGCGAAACACGCTATCGTCAGTTGGCTTTTCAACTTCTCAATTCGCCTGTTTGTGAAAAGCGCAGTCAGGAGAGAGTTTTTAAATAATTGTTTTAGTAAAATCCAAGTAGTTGGTCAAAAATATCGAGAATAAACAAATTTTAGCTAGTTAAAGCTAGACTTTAATCCTTTTTTGCCGCCAAAAAGCCCGCGCTTTTCGCTACTAGTGGGCTATAACATATAGCCTAGTAGTAGCTCAACCAATCAGAACACAGCATTGATAATAGACCACAAGCTGTTTTTTTATGCAATATGATAACTAGAATGCAATATGATTAAAAATTATTCTGGTACAAGGTTTTTTTCCTCTGAATTTTAAAATTACTCAATTTCCTGATGGATTCTGTCTTTAAAACTGTTCATAACAATTTGCATTAAGTGTCGATAAAGTGGTCAGTTGGTCAGTTTCGAAAGAAACTGTGGTGTTTCGTCAGCTGAGTTGATTCAGTACAGTTGCCATCATTCAAAAACGCATAAACTGATGTTTCGTTTCGAGTGATAACCATTCACAACATATACGCCAGTTTACCCCCTCCCCCTTCCCCTCCGGGCTATGACCCTAGCTGCCGATGCACGCGCATTTTTGGTGGTCACGCCACGGCACGATAAATTATTCGCTTTCGTTTTCACAGTATTTCCCTTCGTCGTTCAAGCAGAAGCTCTCTGTAATGAGCTTGCAATCTGAGTGAAATCGCACGATTAACTGTACATCATGTGCATCAAGTATTCAAGTCGAGTATCTACTTGTAGTAAATACCATTCCTTATGAATGGTCCAAAAAAATGCGTAATTTAATTACATATTTCACGGCTCTTGTACCATTTTGTTTGGATTGCCGCCCTCAAAATCCGGTATATATAAGGCACTGCCCAGGGGTGGGTAGCTCACACGGAATAATTTGAGTAGCCTGTTCCAGACGTTCAGAAGAGCGGAGAATGCAGGGTGCGAGTGGAGAGCAGAGAGAAAATAACAATTAAGCGGAATCGAAAGAAAAATCATTTTATGATGAGGGGAAGGGGCGGTGGGAAGAGGAGGTGAATCAATTGCAACATGGATAAGTCCCGGGGGGGTACTTCCTTATAAGAGGCTAATG